TTAATACAGGTGAGAGTGGATTACCCATTGCCATACCAAATTTTTGAGCATAATATTCTCCATTGAATTCGAATTTGCAATCCTTAATACATAAGTTTGATGAGTTCGATAAAGTCGTCTTTCGAGACGGGCAGTGAAATATCATCCAGGGAATCTATGATGAACTCTAGTAAATCATCAACTGGGACCTTTGTAAAGAGTGATTTTACATCAAAGCTGACCAGTTTAAAATCATAATTCATGTGTAAGTTATGGAGTTTATCAACCAGATCCATATTATTCTTGATATTGGAGTTAGAAATGTTGCCAACTAGGGGATTTAGTAAAGAAACTAACCATTTAGATAGTTTATAAGGGATTGACCCAACTGAGCTAATGATGGGTCTTGCTGGGTTATTGGGCTTGTGGGTCTTGATTACACCGTACATGTATGGCAGTGGAGGGGACGTTGAAGTAAGATGTTTAATGAGAGTAGCTTTCCAGTTAAATAACAGACGTTTAAGTGAGTCACTAGTGTTTACACTACACCAACCGGTAACATTTGATGCCATTACTTGAAGTGAATTGGCCTTATTTTAAAAAACTATGGATGTGTAAACAGCACTGGTCAATGGGATGGTTGGTAAAGGACTACTGGGTCAGTAAGCTCCCAATGGTTAAGTGTCACATTTGGGGTACCGGTCTTATACAGCGAATAGGGCTCAAAAGCTACTTTTTAAATGGAAATTTTTGGGGTCGTCTTAAACACCCCGTCGCCTTGTAGGCCGAAATATAGGGTATACAGTAGTATATATTATTATGTTTACAGTATGAACAATATTGTACAGTGGTGTTTGTGTAAATAGCTACAGCTTCTACTAGTTGTAACACAGCTCTATTCATGCCTGTATCATATAGAGCTTTTGTTTTTTAATATATTTACTGAACCAAACTTTTAGATAAAGTATTCAGAATTATTTTGATACAAAATTGGTGTCCAACGAAATTAAAATAAATTTTACCGACTTCGGTATCAACATTTCTTAATTTTTTTTAATAAATGAATGGAATTCCCATCACTACAGTATATCATATCAAAATATTTTGTTTAAGGATATCTAATTTGAAATGTCTCGTAAAGATTAAATTAAGGATCACTATGGTATCAAATTCATCTCCTTATCATAATTAGCCACGCTTGAGTGAGGAAGGAAGAGGGAACTGACCAAGCGACACTCACCCCCCAAAAAGGTTCGCTTCCGCCACACACACACACATGGTGTTTACATATATCGTGGATACTGTGTCGGTAGGGTGTGTCATAGGAGGGAAGATCAGCTAAAACTAATGGCCCATCACTTTTTTGGTAGATTTTAGTGTATATAAACAGAAAATAATTTCAGTTTCAATATTTTGCAACCTTTTGCTAGGTAAATTTTAGCGTGAAATTTATCGAAAATCTAACGTACAGCTGCATTAGTGCATTACAATTAAATAGTGAACATTGCTTTCTGACTTCATTCTTTAACAACCCAACTAACAATATTTTTTCTGTTTCAGATTCTGATGCATTTATAAGTTGATAATATTTGCGATGGCTGCTTGTGTCAGGACGAGGAACCAAAAATCCAGCCATCTCAGTCACTATCTTGGGTCTGGGAGAGAGCTCCTGAAGTCGGAGTTGCCTACATTGAGAGATGCTTTGAGATACGGTGTTTTAATCAGGCAAATCAGTGAAAAGAACCAAAGAACTTACACAAACAAAGACATTGCCAGTGATATGACCAAAAGCTGTCTTGGCACAGTACACTCTGGCTAACGCTCAGTTCAAGCCTCCAGTCATAACAAGTCAGAAGAAGATTAGTGAGAGACTGCTAGCCAGTTGGGAAAAGGCAAGAGATATCTCTCTTGGGAGAGGAGAAAACTTGCAGTTAAGGACAGCTTTGCCAAGCAACTGGACCAGTTATTTGACATAATTACTTGCAAGTGCCCAATTGTTCTCTGTCCTGAGTTTGGATGCGATCAGACTGTAAATCCGGGCCCACATCTCCTGTATTTGCAAGCGTGAACTGAAGATTCCTGTGATCGAACTGGCATTTGTCAAAGCACAGAGAGAGAAGACTGGCAGTATAGGGGCTCTCATGATTTCTAGCCAAGATATTCCGGTCCAAGAGACAGAGGCTGCCACAGAGAGACAGAAGAGGAGAAGAGTTGCGAGGAAAAGAGACTTGAGAAGGCCCAGGGTGAGGTAAAAAAGGCCGATGATTGGAGTCAAGCTGATTCAGAGTTTAATGACTTCCCCATGGCTGATCCGAGTGCTGACCAGGAGAATGGTGACTTTGTCCCTAACCCAGAAAATAATGATCCCAAACCTTCCAGGCATAAGATTCGAAATAGGAAAGATATCCCTCTAGCATGCGACACCACAATGGTCTCAGAGAAACTGCAGAGATAGCAACAGCTGCCTGGATTGACGGTGGTTTGATAACACCTGATGATGTTCACCTGGTGATAGATCATAACAAAGTAAGGAGAGCTCAGGAGAAACTTGTCAGTAACCCAGAAGAGGAGTTTGATAAGGGGATAAGAGAAAATGGAATCAATTGTTTGTTCTTTGATGGGAGAAGGGATGACACTAAAGTGTTCATGAAAGTTGGAGATTCTGACAAGTTGTTCCCTGCCATGGTGAAGGAGGAACACTACTCCTGCTGCAGTTAACCAGGAGGGAAGTATTTGTGGCATTTCACTCCAGAGAAAGATGACATCAGGAAACCAGCTGAGATAGTGGCAGATAACATTGTGAACTGGCTCAGAGAGAGGAACGTAGACCAGACCCTGCAGGCCATTGGAGGGGACACCACCAACACGAACACAGGGTGGCAAGGGGGGGTCATACAGTGGATAGAGCGGAAGATTGGGAGGAAGCTGGTCTGGATTGTTTGTGACCTCCACACCAACGAGTTGCCACTCAGATATCTGATCCAGGAGCTGGATGGCAAGACTCTTTCAAACAAGAAGGACAAGAAGTCTGCTCCTACGCCTTCGCCCACCACGTCCACGCCCGGTTCATTTTGTAACAACTGTGGTAAGCAGCACGGAACACAGGCGTGTCCAGCTGCTGAGTCTACATGCAACAGTTGTGACCGTAAGGGCCACTGGTCACTCACAGTACGGTACCCAGCCAAACGCGTCCAGTGCAATGTGTGCGGTCGTCTGGGCCACTATGACAAGTGTTGCCCTTCCAACAAACCCAAGGGACAGCGTCGGCGGAAGCTTCAGCTCCCTTCCACCAGAGAGGGCCGCCCACAGTCTTCCAATCAGAAGCATGACGACCCTGGACAACGCTCGAGCCATATTAGGAATGTGTGCTCCCCCCCGCGTCCCAGGACCAAAGTCCCCCAGTACATCAGTGTCATTGTGACCTACTGCAGTGTGTCATCCCGTCTTCAGATGTTGCCCGACACCGGCGCTGATGCTACAGTCATCGGTCCCCAGCATTTGCAATGCTTGGGGCTCTCTCCAAGTGATCTAGGACCGCCCCCCAAGGATCTCCGCTTTATGGCAGATGGTTCACAGATGACCCCGGCCCTGGGTTCACTCCAAGCACAAGTCACCTTTGGCAACAGGTCGTGTCAAGCCTGGATTGATGTGCATAACGGTGTCCCGACTCCTTTGCTGTCCTAAAGACATTGCCAAGAGTTGGCCATCATCTCCCAGGACTTCCCCAAACCTATTCTTGAGGTAAAATACGCCAACAGGGTGCACGAAGGGAGCAGCAACTACCTTGCTGCCGCCCTACCCCTACCTCTGGCCAGTGACACCTCTCCTTCGGTAGTTGTCCCTGCTGCATCACGTCCCCACGTCTTGGCTCGCCTCCACGACAGTCACTGTGGAGCCGAGGCCACCAAACGGCGTGCAAGACAGACTGTGTTCCGGCCTGGCATCGACCCCGACATCTCCAATGCTGTCCAGGTGTGTAAGCCCCGCCACGTACTACAACCCAGCCAGCAGCAGGAACCCTTTATGAGTGACGACAACCCCACCAGCCCCTTGGAGTCTGTGTCCGCCGACTTTTTCTCTGTGTCAGGAAAATCCTTCCTCGTTATCGTCGACCGTCTCTCTGGTTGGCCGGTTGTCATCAAGTGTGGTAATGACACGACGTCTGCCGCCACCATCAGCAAGTTCCGCCACTACTTCCGTGACGTGGGCGTTCCTGTACGCCTGCGAACCGACGGAGGGCCTCAGTTCACAAGCCGGGACTTTGCTGTGTTCCTCGACCGATGGGGAGTCCGGCATGTGTTGTCATCGCCCCATTACCCGCAGTCCAACGGCCACGCTGAGGCTGCTGTCAAATCCCTGAAGCACCTCATCCTTAAGGTGGCCCCTTCTGGGAACATTGACTGCGAGGCCTTCGACCGGGGTCTTCTTGAACTCCGCAACACACCTAACTACACCGGACGCTCCCCTGCCCAGGTTTTGTATGGACGCCCCCTTCGTTCTTGTGTCCCTGCTCACCCTCAATCCTTCTCCAAGGAGTGGCAGGCCAAGACAGAGGATTGTGATCGCCGAGCCGCCGAACGTGTTCAGGACGTCGTCGCCCGCTACAACGACCACGCCCGTTCTCTCCCCAGGTTGAGTGTCGGCACCCAAGTCCGTGTTCAGGACCCGACCTCCCTACGTTGGGACAAAGTAGGCGTAGTCATGGGTCTCGGTAGGTCACGGGACTACCAGGTGCGGTTACCCAGTGGTCGTGTGTGGTGGAGGAACTGCCGTTTTCTCCGCCCCGTAACAATGCCTTCTGCTGACCCCGCCACCAGTGTTGAGTCCCATACCCTTCCCAGTGATCTAGTCCCTCGACGCTCAGAACGGATCCAAAAGAAAAGGTCCGCTCAAGACTTTGCTATGAGCGTATAGGGGGGAGGGAGGTGTATGTATATTCTGTATGCTGTATTTATATTATGCTATGTATATTATGTATGTGCTCCATTTATATATATTATTTATTCAGCCTAGCTAGCAGCGTGTGGCAATGTTATTACCATGTCCCACATGCTTAATTAATGTGCCTGGCGACGTATGGAAGCTGTTAATGTCTCACTTGCCATACGTCGTCTATAGAGCAGTTGACAAGCAGACAGGTTGAGGAGCGGTACTTCCCTTGTGTACATATCTCTTATCCAGTAAATAGAACCTACAAAATCTATACAGGTGTTTGTGTTCGCTCCTGTATATTGAACTTATTACCCAGAACATGAACAATTATATGTCTTATTTGTGTCACTTATGTTACTTTTATATTATTTGTAATTCGTAACCCATTCCCCAAATATGTAACTGTATATTTTCAGCCTTCTGGCTGCCAAGCTCTTTCAATAAACCGTTAATTATTATTATTATTATTATTACAACCAATCTCCCTGCTTACCTACCAGCCCGCTTTCCCACTCACTTAGTAGAAGAATTTGAAGTAGCAAAACGTCTGAACAAACTAAAGTTAAAACGCTCCACCACCCCCATTGACTTACCAATGAAACTCTTAAAGGAGTTCTCCCTGGAGCTTGCTAAACCCCTCTGCTCCATCATCAATGCTTCTCTTAGTCAAGCCAGATGCTCAGCTGACTGGAAGACTTCTTATGTGTCACCAGTGCCCAAGTCAGCCAGCCCACAATCCTTAACCCTTTAGGTGCGTAATTAAATTTCGCGCCGGTTCCTGAAAAGTGTCAATTATCCTGCCAAAAATGAATTTCATATAATCACATTTTCTATATGTTTTTCCTAGAGAACTTTTAGTATATTTTCCAAATCTGGAACAAAAATTCACATATGTGTGCAAATTTTAGAGAAAAAATGACATTTATACCCAAAAATGCAGGAAATTGGTATAAATCAATGTCTGGTATATGGCAAATAAATTTAATCAATTTGGTTACTAAACAGCAAATTTAGATATGTATTACATATTCAGATAATATCAAACAAAATAGTACAAAAATAAGCTATATTGCATTCAGGAAATACTCCTATACCTCAATACATAATATGTCCGCATGTCGTCTCATTTGGGGAAGTTTTTTCAAGGCCGTGGGATATCCCCGCTTGTCGCATTTAATTAATATAATATTTTGGGCGGGTTTACCCGCATGCCGCACCCAAAGGGTTAAGTCAGCTACGACCCATTGCAATCACCCCGATACCCAGCTTAATCTGTGAAAGTTTTGTGTTCAACTGGGCTTATGCTGATATTGCAGGAGCCGTAGATCCTCAGCAATTTGGTAATATGAAAACTTCCTCCACCACTCACAGTCTTGTTAGCTTTTTCTACTACATATACCGCCATCTGGAGAAACGAAAAACGTCTGTAGCTGTCGCCTTCATTGATTTCACTAAGGCATTTGACCTAGTCGACCACAATTTAATCATCAACAAAGCTATCGATCTCGGGTTTCGAAGAAGTCAGTCTTATACCATGGCTTACAGACTTCCTCAGTAACTGATGCCAAGCTGTACGCTTCTGTGGGGCTGTCTCCACCTTTCAATCACTCACCTGGGGTGGGCATCCCCCAAGGCACCAAGATGGGACCACTATGCTTCCTTATGCTTATGAATGATGCCCTAAGAGAAACCCCTGCTCGCTGGAAATATGTCGACAACTCCACCATTTGGATCAGCGTCAACAATTCTGCCCCCGACTATACCGCCCTTCAGGATTTACGGAAGTCTCCAAAACTGGGCCACCAACAACCATATCAAGACCATGGTTATGCACATCAATTTCTCCTCCGACGTTGTCCCACCCCCTTCCAGTACTTTAGGTCCCAACACACTCCAGGTTGTAGATTCCACTAAGCTCCTCGGCGTCACCATAGACAACAAACTAAATTGGAAACCCCACGTCAGTGAAGTTGTCAAATCCTCCAGTTTCCGTCTCCACCTCCTTCGCCGACTCAAGTCCCTCGGAGTTCCTGCATTGAGCTCCTCAGTGTTTACTCAACATTCATACTTCCCAAGCTCACCTATCCCTCCCCCACCTGGTCTTCTTCCCTAAATGCCACACAACGTAAACACCTAGAAAAAGTGCAAAAGAGGGCATGCAAGATTATTCTCTCCCCTTCCTACTCCACATATCAAGAAGCGCTCAACACACTGACCCTCTCGGCTCTCACTCATCATCACCACGACCTCATCTGCAAATTTGGTTAGAAGTTTCTGCACCATCCTCGACACCGGCTCCTACTACCACCTGAGATCCCTCGCACCCGAGAATTGCTGTTCGACACCACAACCACATCCAGCCCATACGAGCACAAACTGATCGCTATAAAAATAGCCGTCCCAACCATTGCAAAAAATTAAAAAAATTATCAATAACTTGTAATCAACCAGTGTATTCACTCCCAGTCAATCTTACTTTTTGCACTGTCACTATGTTGAAATGCCCTGTAGTCTGAGCTTCTCCCCACCTAGTTATTATATATCATATTTGTATCACTTATGTTACTTGTATATTATTTGTAAATCAAGAGACCCATTCCCCAATTATGTAACTGTATATTTTCAGCCTTCTGGCTGCCATGCACTTTCAATAAACAGTAATTATAAATTATTTTTATTATTACATGTTCCAACACCACTCACACACCCCCCAACAAGGGAATTAAGACAGCAAGCATGAGGAGTGAGGGTCTTACTGTATGACACATCTGTGTGTGTGTGTGTGACTGCATGGTAGCGAGTTAAATATCAGCTGTTGAGGAGCGCTTGGCAACACTCATTTCCACACCATCTCTCTAATTACCCACACCCTTCTGCTTTCCCACTCATTATTTTAAAATGTTATATAACATAATGTTGAAGGGATACAACTTTGCTCATTTATACTTACAGTGATCCGTCGATTAACGAAATTTCAGTTAACAAATTACCTTCCATAATATTCATCACTCCGGTTAACGAATTCCTTATGAAATTTTCCCAACATATTTTCGCCTGCTCACCAGCTGTAGTATTAGTCCGCCAATACAGTACAGTAGTCAGTTTTAGGGCTTAAATTCGTTACCATTTGAGTAAATATCAAGAAGGTTGTACTATTCAATAATTTTCCAAGTCTTATATTAAAGTTTTTAGTCATTTTAACAATTATTTAACATAATTGAAGTACAGGGAACTAGTTTTTAGCGCGCCAAACAGCCGCTCAACACACCCAAAATGGCGTCAGTGTGTGTCCCTGCTCAGTGGAGGAAGCTTCTTGCTTGAGACTCTTTTGGACATAACTATTTTTACATTTTTACAGTACAATTATTGGTCATTCTGAAGTTTATTTTATATATTGACAATATATAATGCAGTGCAGTGTTGATTCAAAGAAAACAATCTTGAATTACACCAAGTGAACTAAAATTTTATGGGTGGAATGGCGGCATGGGGTGACTTCTCTTCCACCCCAATGCCTTCTCTTTTCCCTTCTCCTCCACCCCCATTCTAATTCCCATCATCATCATCATCAACCAGGAGCCTTCTACATGCACACCTCAAAGTAAGTGTACTTTACTGCATTTATTTTTAGTTTGTATGTAATTTTCGGTGAGCTGGAACCAATTACCAAAAATCCCATTGAAACAATGGTTTCGGTTAACGAACGACCTTCTGGAACGAATTGTGTTCGTTAACCGAGGGACCACTGTATACTTATCACAATCTACGTAAAAATACTTAAGGTTTCGTGTTTATTCAGGCCATCTTCATGTCATGAGATCCACTAGTACCCCACCCAAGAAAGGGTGACCTGACATTTCATCAGTAGGTCAGTAATATGAGACCACTAATCCCCCACCTTATCTCCACCTGTCATTACATCAAGTCAGGTCAGTTACAAGACCAAATAATCCCCTATAGCTCTATGGGAGTGGAAAATAACAGTCTTTGCTGTAACACACAGCTTCATTCATGCCCATATTCAAAATATTTTTAATTTCTAAACATATTTATTTAAAAAACTTTTAGATAAATTATTCTGGAGTATTAAAGAAATGGATATTTAAAAAACTTTTAGATAAATTATTCTGGAGTATTAAAGAAATGGAGCTTCTAACTTAAATAAACTGCATTTATGGACTCTGGTAGTTTAGATTCAAGGAAAACATCCCAAGCACCCAGAAATGTTCAGGGGAAGTGGGCTAGTGTACATCTGTGTAAGATGCCTAGTTCAGACACTCAGAAACTTTTCCCAGTAACTGCAAAAGATTCTGGGGATAAGAAATTTTCCGGGTTTGATAAAGTCGTCTGGTTACCTGCAAATCTCTCATCCCTGTAAGTGCTCTGCACCAATTGTTCTGGCTAACGGGGATAACAATGTGTAGTCTTTTTCTTTTCTATTTTTAATTTTATTTTACTGGGATTTTTTTTTTGGGGGTAGTTATTTTTCAATGATGTTTTAATAACCCAGCACCAAATGAACCTAAATAATATGGGAATTAAGGTCAATTGCACACTTATTATAAAGGGATAGCGAGCTGTCGAGCAGTAGGTGGTAGAGTTATCCTCCCTCCCCCTCTGTCACCTTGTTTAAAATACTTCATACAGTATAATGATAAAAACACCCAAGGAAAAAATTAACGAAATTGAACGAATACTTCTGATGGTAGTGCAGTTCTCAGAAATTTCCCAAAATTTTCTTATAGCCTTGCAGATAGCTGAATTTTTATTGATAATCATGAATAAAGGGTCACTAACAAATAATTTTTGGTATGTATAAAATTATGACTGTACTGCATGCATTTTACCTCATTATTGGTTCATTATGATAATGCACACCAAAAAGTGTCATTAAATGTTTTTTGCATTGTAAGACATTTTTGGAAAAAATTTTCACAAGAAAATATTTCAACTTTTATAATGGGAGTCTATGGGAAAATGGGACCCAATTTATGAAACGTTTCTCAGGAATGGAACCGTTTCATAAATTGGAGAATGCCTGTTATTAGAAAATATAGAATATGATATGAGAAAATTTACTTTATCAAAAGATGACAAGTCTCACAAGACCCAAGCTTCAGCCTCTTCATAAGGAATATATTTTGCCAAGACAACACTGCCTGCCCCTACTACTCTTAGATGCCACTTACAACAGGCATATATCTCAAGGTTCTAATCTTAATAACTTAACTCCCAAAAACCCAATCTACAACAAATACAATACAGAGCTTAAATTACATTCAATCAACTTATAACTTCTACTGCCATCACTCAAACAATAAAACATCATGTACATACCATAGAGAGACTCTGAGCAGGTCCCAGAAACCACAAAATCTGCAGGTTCACATGGGCAACCAATCAGGTCAAGAGCACAGATGTATGGTTCTTTAGTGTTTGGATGCAACCCTGCAATAACAGGCTCCACGAAATAAGGGCCAAACCTCCTCTCATAGAGCAGATTTTGGACCATCGCCATCAAAGTCTGGGGCTTCATACGACGTCCCTCTCTGGAAAAATAAATAATACAGTAATTCAAGTTCAACACTGCCAATAACTGAAAATTTCCTAAATACAAAATCCTTTTGGTTTGATCTTTGTGGTAAATATCTATCAAATTAGTTTCTATAACCCATTTCCACACACATCAAGTGATCTGCGCAAAACAAAACCTCAAAAAAAAACTTGGGTCATTGCATTAATTCAAGTGTGAAACCCAATACATGTATAAGTTAAATAAAATTGCTATAAATGGATAAGTTGTCGGTTCTGAGTAAATACAAGAAATACACTGTCACATTTGTACAGTGATACGGTAAATATAATTTGTAATAAAAGTTTCAAGTCCTGCTATAATTGTCAAGATAAGTATATTTCTCTTGAAACAGGGCCGCCATTTGTAATGACGTTCTCCAACAAACTCACCGCTGCAGTCGGAGGTAGTACAAAGGATGGCCTCTTCAGACCATTGCCACGTTCAGGTAAGTTTTAAGTGTGTTTTTTTTTATGGTCTAATTCATGGACAATTTGTAAGTGAAGAAATGTGCCATGAAGAGCAGCTTATGAACACAAAAAAATCTCATGTTCACACCAGTTCAGCTGTCATATATTCTTACCTGGTACACTTTCTCTCTTTTTTTCAAGTGCATTTACAGAGTACAGTCGGCCCTTCACATACGCGGGTTTAGCGTACACGGATTCGCAAATACGCGGATTGCCCCCCCGGAGGAATATTCTGTACATTGAAGTAATTGAAGTACAGTGAGTTCTGCTATAACGCGTGTTTTGACAACGCGAATTGGCTCTAACGCGATTTATGAAGAGAGGAACGATATTTGTATAACACGAACGCTTGTTTGCTGTAACGCAATTTTTGCTCACTATTTCTCCAATTTTGTGGTATTAACTGTGAATATGGTAAAGAAGAATATCTCCAAGAAGCGTTCTGGTGATCGCATTCCCGGTGATGATCGTAAAAGAAAGGCTATAACCCTTGAAGAGAAGCTCGATGTTATCAACCTCAAAATCACCCTTCTCCCCCATCAAGTTATATTCATATTTTTTCAAGGTAAAGTGTTACATTTACTGTATGATTTCATTATCAGATATGAATGTAACATTTATTTAGACTGTGCTATCCTTTGTGTTAGGCTAACTACTAAATTTTTTTCGATTTCGAGTAGTAATCTGCACCTAACCCTATTTTCTCCATAAGCCGTTATTTCTATTACGCAAATTTCTATAACACGATGTTTTACAAGAACACACCTATATCGTTATAGCAAAACTGACTGTACATTCAAATCGCGCGCGGCACCGCACACCGCCCCGCCACCCCACACACACACACACACACACGTCACGCCTCCCCGCGCTCCCTCACTCAGTCAGTCTCGCTGTAACCACGCTTGTGTTGACATCAGCATTGTAGGTCGACCCTGATTTTTTTACCAAAAAATCGTTAATTTGTGATATTCCTTGTTTATAGGTCGACCCAAGTTTTTGAGGATATTGGAACAACAAAACCTTCAGTAAAAACACTCTACGTCCTATAAACTGAGGCTCGCCGTGCCTGAAACACAGAGTGCCGCAGGCAAATTGTTTACCATTTATTATTACGACACTTTACACTGAAACGCGAGTAGTTTCAACAAAAATATTGTATATTTCCATTCAAGTATTTATTCAAGTCAATTAGGAGGGAATATTATTGTAATACAACAGTTTTTATAACTGAAAACCAGTACTGTACACTAATGTACAACAATTTTTATCTCTTGAGCAAAATATATGACGTTTATATTCAAATTATTGGCTGTCTTGCAAGGATTCCAGCAATGAAAATTATAATCTCCTAACTTTAGTCTGAGATATTATATGAGATAAAAACTGTAAGCCTAAATAAACCCCTGGCTAAGCAGATGGGGGAGGGAGGGAGGGAGGGAGGGAGGGGTGGGGGGGCAGGGGGGGTTGAGGTGATATGTTTGACAGTTTGAGCCGAAGGTCTCTGTGTGTTTATTTAACAGTCCTACTACGCTTCTCCCATTTTAAAATGCCAGTGAAATGACCTAGGAGAATATAATTAACATTGCTGGGATTCTTGTAAGACACTGATTAATCTGAATAGCAACATGCTCTAATTTGCACTAGACAACAATTTTAGTACCGTAATGAAATTAGTACATGTACACTCCAGCTCTGCACTAAGGTCATTTATTTCTTTTAGTACGGTGTGTGCATGTAAATGGATGAAAATAAATGAAGAAATTTATGTAAATCTACCCAAAAATACAGTTGAAAACTTTATACTGTATTTAAAATGTACTACACAGTATTGTACACTAATGTACTACATTTTTATATCTTGAGCAAAATATATGACGTTTATATTCAAATTATTGGCTGTCTTGCAAGGATTCCAGCAATGCAAATTATAATCTCCTAACTTTAGTCTGAGATATTATATAAAATAAACACCTTAAAGAATAAAGTTATCACCAATCTTTTGTCTGGGAACACAAGGAGGGAGGTAGCCAGCGAGCATAGGGGGGGGGGAGGTGAGGTGACAGAGTGTGGTGTTTGTTTATTTATTTGAGATAAGATGTGACAGTTGGCGCAGAAAGCCTACGTGTTTATTTATCATTACTTAAGAGTGACTAAGCTCTTATAATTTGCCACCCAAACGTCCTGGGTGAATATAACTTACATCGCTGGGATTCTTGTAAGATAGTGATTTATGTCATGGTATTGGAGTGGATCCGTGGTAGTAGGAGTGGATTATATTATATAAAGATGATGATATGTCGTATTTCTTATTTCTTACCGTAGAGTTCGATACCTTCACACTGGTTACTTACAGGAGATTATGGCGTATCTACGTAGAAGTTCACTCCACCACTCGACATTCCATGATTTATACTTGATAAATGATGATTTAATGAATTCATTTAATTGTCAACATCCATCTAAGTTATTGGTTATACTATGTCATAACCAATCAGTCATTACCTTTAGTAATAATAAGATAGGATCACAGATACGGGCAGATAATTGAACTTACATTTATTTGTCAAGCTTCCATACAATGATTTACAATTTGCATGGATATATGATTCACTCACGTTCACGCTGTAATAAAATTAATCTTCTAAAACAGGGAATTTCCAACTTGGGGACACATGTGATTACTCTACTGTGGTATGACTTAACAGAGCCTTAATTCTTCAAGTGATACATTTACTGCCAGCCTGGATTGCTTTTGTTGCAACCAGGCTTCATCACAAGAACTTCTTCCCACGGCCATAACAACAAAAAGGTACTCTTGGGTTACCACACATAGTCTCGCGTCACTGACAGTCACTGGACGGTTGTCGCGACAAGTAGAACTGGTAAGCGTGACTTGAATTAACCATTAGGTGCAATAGACCAGCCTGGATTGCTTTTGTCGCAACCAGACTTCCACACGTGATATTTCCACGGGGATAACAAACCTAGGTTAACACACTTAGTCTCGTGTCGATCACGGTCACGGTAGACGGGTGTCGTGCAGAACTCTGTAAGCGTGAATTAATTAACCATTTACTGTAGGTTTGATAGGCCAGCCTGGATTGCTCGTCGCAACCAGACTTCCACACGTGATATTTCCACGGGGATAACAAACCTAGGTTAACACGCTTAGTCTCGTGTCGATCACGGTCACGGTAGACGGGTGTCGTGCAGGAGAACTCTGTAAGCGTGAATTAATTAACCATTTACTGTAGGTTTGACAGGCCAGCCTGGATTGCTCGTCGCAACCAGGCATCCACACGTGATATTTCCACGGGGATAACAACCTAGGTTAACACACTTAGTCTCGTGTCGACGACGGTTCACAGGACGGAGTGGCGGTGGAGGACTCTGTGTGGTGTGGTGTCCCGCCCCCTTTCAGGAGGGAGAGAGTCAAGACAACGTCTTAACTAACCCATGGCTCAAGGGATACTACTCAAAATGAGGTTTTTGGGTGTGAAGCGATGAACAGTACAACACTGTTTCACTGCCCACCCCCCTAAAGGCTGGCTAACATACACTAATTGAAAAATACATGTCCCAGTTATGCCTCGCCGGGCGTCTTATCTCTGGTAAAACAAACTTTGGAGTTGGTTGCGTGGGTAAGCCTAACGCAACCCATGACAATTTATTTGAATACCTGTATAAACAATCTATATTTGCAATAGACATAACAATTTAAGTACCGTAATCATTTAGTACATGTACAGTACAGGTTTGTTCCACGGTAAAATCTTTTGAACAACGAAAGAAAGCGAAAGTCATTGTTTTCGTCATGATTTTATCCCACTTTCCACTGTAATACGTACGTCATTTCAGCAAAAATATTACATTTCCATATTTATTTCTGAGAATATATTCATTCAGTCACAGTTAAGGTAAAATATACTTGTGATGTAATATTTTAATGAAAATACCCAGTATTTAGAAATACAGTATCATAGTTTTCTTTTGTTTCAAATTTAATTAACAAAGATTGATGTTTCAATTGTAATGAACAAAAATTTATGTACAGTATTTATAAACTTTAAAAAATGAATACTTTGTTTTACATCGTCCTGTGCATACCATACCATGCACTTGGCTACTTTGGGCTTGCTATGATGACGCAAGAGATCTGCCCTGGCAACTGTACCGACACTCACAGCTGGTGGTGCGTTGTGTGTCGTTTCCATTGTTTACTGGTAGTTACTGGTAAATATTTTTCAACTATTACCCGTTTAGAGGTCGACCCCCAATTTTTTGCCAAATAATTTGGTCTTAAAAACTCGAACTACACACAGGTATATACGGTAAATAAGGACATTGGGGGGCCAGGGGTTTTTTAGGGGGGAGCAGCAAAAGTACGCGGATATTTAACATTCACGGGTATTTCTGTTGCCTAACCCCCACGTATGTTAAGGGCCGTCTGTATATCAGTACTAGATGTTGATACGAGTCAATTTAGAAATACAGGTGCTCCTCG